GAGAGAGAGAGAGAGAGAGAGAGAGAGAGAGAGAGAGAGAGAGAGCGAGCGCAACTGATGACGAGTGTAAGAGAAAGAGCGAAAAATAGTGACAGTTTAAGAGAGAGGGACAAGACAGATACATGTATAGAGAAAAAGAGAGACCTCTTTCTGTTTTGATGCTACAACCCACTATGCCTGGGTTGGTTCTTTCAAACATTGTTAAAGCAGCCTGCTTCCTAAATGACATAAACCCCCGGGGGCGGTGCCACTGACTAAAGTGTCATTAGGCTATTCCCAAAGGAGGGGGGGGGGGCATTAACATTTCGAGTTCTTATGCACAGTAGAATTGTAATTGTAAATGGGCTGATTCATCAATGTCATGCTCATAACTGTGCCTGAACTACAACAGGGAACTGCTGCTTTTTCTTTCCTAATCCCTACTATCATTATTTTTTCCTCTACTTCTTTTGTATGTTTGTCACGCTCTTGTGACCTGCTATTTCCGAGGTGCCTTGATAGTGGAACCAGACTTTGTGCTGTTGAAGCTGGAGAGGTGAGCAGAGTAAGTCTGATTCCCTGTAAGGACTCCTCTGTTGACATCCAACCTGTGGCGCTCAAATGACCTTTTGCTGTTGTGAGCGCCGTAAAACCTCTACTAAAACAAAGTGGGGAGGGGGTAGGGGAGGGGGCAGGCACTTTGGTGTGGTTTTCTTCTCAATTTTGGGTGATGTCAGTGTCATTTTATCTATGAATCTATCATTGTAAATCATCTTAATTGTACTAGTCTGTGCAGAAGTACCGAAATGACATAATGGCATCATTGAAGAGACTGTTGTGTTTCCCCACCAGATGTTGACGTCAACAGACCAGACGAGAAGATCATTGTGACCTATGTGGCCTCCTACTACCACTACTTCGCCAAGATGAAGACAGAGATGACAGGAGGAAAGAGAATTGCCAAGGTAACATGATATGGCAGTAATGGGTACCTGACTTTGAATTGGAGATGTAAAGGCGGCGTGGAAAGGAACTGGCCACCCTATCAACCACATTATGCTGAAGGCTCAGGAAGCTGTCTCACTAACAAGGCAATCTCCAAGGTCCGGATCGGATGCGGGAACAACTTTTTAACATGATATGACTTGTATGATGGGTTAACACCTTTCCACCCTCACAGCGCGCAGAGCGCACAACGCTTGTCCCCACGCAGCAGGATGCAGATGGGCTACATCAGTACTCCACCTGTATCTCGGCAAAAATACCCCAACCATTGGGAAATTTTCAGCGTACTGAGAAAATTGAAAGAGTTGATCTCATGTTCGCCAAAAAAGGAATCAGAATCATCTGGACTGAAAACATTATATCTAGCTCATTCATCACCCGAATTCTCATCCTGGCGAAAGAGTAAAGGAGCACTCATGCTAGGTCTACTCGGTATTTTTCAAACGAATTTACTCCAGTTGTTGTATATTACAAACTGATCTTCGACCTCAAAGGCCACACAAACTGTTCCGAAAGGAAAGTTAACTTGAACAAGTGCGCAGCATGTCAAAAAGGAGATCATTGCTACCACGTTTTTGTTGCTACGTCACACACGTGTCCGATCGGCGCCCCGTGGGGGGAAAGTGGAACAAAAAAAAGTTTTGTCTAAGTTTTGTTTTAGTAAGAATTTTATGAAGTTTGCAACACAAATCCAGTCTGTGGGAGAGTCACTGGAAAAAACAGATGGGTAACAAACTCCACAATATTAAACCCAAGCTGGGACCGCGAAATCCTTCGGGCCTCTCCAGAAGAGACGAAGTTATTTTTACTCCATTACGCATCGGACACACGGCCCTAACCCACAAATATCTCCTTCAGGGAGATGAGAAGGCGTTCTGTGTCGGATACAGATTTTACCAACAGACACATTTTAACCGAATGTCTAGACTTCGGAGAGACCCGAAGGAAATACTTTAAATGCACAAAATTACAAGATATTTTTTCCGTTGAAATTTTAGATTTTTCGGAAAGTAATGAATGAATTTAAAATTAAATCTAATGCTTATTTACACTCGATTTTTAGAGTTTAAAATTTTTTAAATAGAAATATTGACCAGTTTCAAGTTGAGCAAAAACCAATTTGTTTCGCGCGCGCTCATATAACCTTATGCAATTGCGAGCGCCGTAAAACCCCATACTAATACTAAAACTTGCAACACAAATAGGTCTTGTAAGTGCTGAACATTAAAGGTGTCATAAGAGAGTAACATACAAAGAAAAGAAGGAGACATAAGGACGATAGATGTTTGATAGGAAAGAGATAGCAAATCATACTAGAGCACCAGCCAACCACCCACTTACTATTCTCTGTTTTCGGTTGGATATGACCATGACAATGATGGTGTACTCAATTCATTCAGCAAGACAGTTGTTTAAAACAGAATTTGTTTAAAAACAGAAACGTATGAGTTCCCATGTGGTCATTGTGTGGATTAGGTGGATTAGGTCTTTTTTTTCTTCCTTTAAAAAAAAATCCCTTGACCCTTTATATGAGATTGACGCCTTCTGAGTAGTAGAAAAAAAAGTGTGTATGATAGTGTCCAATAGTGTATTAGTAGTCCAATAGTGTATTACGTGCATACTTAGTATATAACTGTAAAAGTTGTGTTGGTTAGTTCTATTGACTGATTTCTGTGCCTTGCTTCTTCACCCTCTCCCCAACCATCCATCCCCCTCTCCTCTCCCCAACCATCCATCCCCCTCTCCTCTCCCCAACCATCCATCCCCCTCTCCTCTCCCCAACCATCCATTCCCCTCTCCTCTCCCCAACCATCC